GTGTGTGAGCTGAATTGGTTACCAGTGTGTTTCTGGTAACAATGGCGCAATTTGAGAATACCTGAGGAATTGCCTTTTTTCCAGAATGTCTATTTATCCAAATAGGTCAGAGAATGGGCACTCTGCAGATCCCTTCAGTCAAAGAATGTCAGCTGGTGGGAGCTAAAAAGTGAGCTTTTTCTGGAGTACCCCCTGCTCTATGGAACATCCTCCCTTTGGAGATTAAAATGGCCCCAGCCCTGTTAGCTTCTTATAAAGCTTTTGTAAAACCTGGCTATGCTCCCAAGCTATGGGCACCATATGAGCCAAGAGTGCTGTCTCCTGGCTATATTGTTAACAGGCCAAGATATCTTGCTCTTATGTGCAAATTAGATGTTTTAACATTCTGTATTGATTTTAATGTTTTTACTGTTTCGATTGCTTTAAAATGTTTTTTAATTTTTGATTGTAATGTATATTTGAATTGTAAGCTGCCCAGAATCATTTATTGAAATGGATGACTATAGAAATCAAATAAATAAATGAACGGGACTGGAAAGCACAGATCTGAAACTATTATGCTAAATGGCTTATGAAGTTCTTAGGGTGCCACCAAGTGGTAAGCACTTTGAAAAGCAATGCATGGGAAGGACACTACTTGCTGGTTTGTGGGCCACATTAGTCTCAAAAAATTATTATTCATTATAGTTAATATGTTTTCCATTTTAGAAATTAAATTAAGCGAATTGAATGAGATTCTGAAAGAAATAATGTTATTCTATTAAAAAACAAATATATGACACCTGATCTTGAGGTGCATCTAACGATTTTGGAAATGTTAACTATTTTCCTTCAGAAGCAAAAGAGATAAGACAGAATGTAAAAGCTCAGTTCCAAGGCTACGAACTTCAAATTCCAGTTCCCCCAGAATTATACAAAAGAATATGCAAATATGTACATAAAATCAAAACTTACTTGCACAGTTTCAATCAAACTTGCTGAATAAAAAGGCATTGCTATGATACAAGTCAACCTAGAGGAATAAATACAGTTACTATTTTGATAATCAAAATCCAATTTACTAAATTCCAATCACATATTTTAATTTCAAATATTCCAATCAAGAATCACCATAAGTCTTTATGATTTAATCTATTTCAGCCATACAGGTAATTCTCAGGTTGCAAGGGTAATTGGAACTAGGATTTTCATCACCAAGCAATGTGGTCATAAAAAGTATGATGTCATGTGACCATGCAACGGCAATTTGAGCAGTTCCTGTTGTTTTTATTAAATGAAGACTGGGGGATTGTTAAAGCAAAGACTTTATATGATTGCATCTTCCTAGTTCCTGCCAGCTCCCCTAATGACTTTGCTTGTGGGAAGCTGATAGGAAGGTCAGAAATGATGCTCACATCATCATGGGCTGTTGCAACTGGTCCTAAACAGCAACCAATGACCAAGCACTCAGATTGTGATCACTTGTGTTTGGGAGTGCTGGGACAGTCAAAAATCAGAGGCCCAATTATGAATGGCCAGTGAAAGTCAACAACTACTTGTATTTTGTATTTCTTCAAAACCATTATGTATAATTTTCTGAATGCTACTTAAATTCATTAGTTGGAAAGAAGAAAAAAAGAAACAAGAATTCATTGTCAGTTTGTCAACTATGCTGCATTTGTGTGTGTCCATCAAGGGAATCATCAGAATAAAATGAAGAAAACAGATTTTAGTATTTAAAAAATACTAAACCTGAAAGTCTCAAGAAAGTTATCCACAAATTGGACCATTCACAGTGTTTGATTACCTTCCAGAATTTTCAGTCAGAGAATGATATTTTTTCTATAACTGAGAATTCTGGATTTGGTACTCCAACAAATCCAGATAATCCTGCTCAAATTGATGATGTTATTCTACAACAGAGAGAGTCTTACTATGCTTACCATTCAATTTTGTTTTGCCAGTGTGGTTATTAATTTGAAAGTATGATAATAGCAAGCATTTTAAATAAAAATAAAACTGACAATCATACATACGCTTTTAGGGTCAGATGTCCTCCTATTTGCCTGGGATTCCATTTGTATGAAATTTCTCTGAAATAAATTTTAAAAGATTTCTTATTCAAGCAACAATCAGAATATATACCAACTCATTACTTTATGCTATGCTTCCAGTAAGGAGTCACGAATTATCTATAGTAAACTGAAGGAGCATCAATTCCCATGGTACTCTAAATAAGTTGGCGCATTATACACTCAACAGTGTTATTATCATACTGGGTTTTGTTTGAGGGATATAAAAGCTCTTGTACTATAAAAATAAAGGTATTGGGTGAAATGCAAATATTTACAGGTAGTCCTCAATTTATGACCACAATTGAGCTCAAGATTTCTATTGCTAAGCAAATCAATTGTTAAGTGGGTTGTGTCCCATTTTAGGATCTTTTTGCCATAGCTCTTAAGTCACTAAATCGTTAGGTGAATCACGTGCTTAAATAAATATGGCTTCCCCCATTGACTTTGCTTGTCAGAAGCTCACTAGGAAGGTTGTGAATGGCAATCCCAGGACATTGGGATTACCATCAAAAATACATGCCAGTTGCGAAGCACCCAAAGTTTTATCACATGATTGTGGGGATGCTTCAACAGTCATAAGTCTGAGAACTGATCGCAAGTCACTGTTTGCAGTGGCATTGTAACTCTGAACAGTCATTAAATGAATGGTTGTAAGTCAAAGATTACCTTTGTGTGCTGTTTTATTTTACTTATTAATACTTATTGGACGTT